TCGGGATGAGCTTATATCTTTAAAAATGTCAGTAATTAAAAAATGACCTTGTTTTTTGAGAAGTATTGAAATTTAAAGATATAAGCTCATCCTGATGTGACACTCATCGAGACCTTTCATTTGAGTACCCACATCAATTTTTTATATATTTCATATATTTATATATATTATATATATAGGTATATATGAAAAATATATAAAAAATGCATGTGGGTACTCAAATGAAAGCTCTTGACGAGTGTAACATCAAGATGAGCTTATATCTTTAAAAATATCAATAATTAATAAATGACATAGTATCTTGTGAACTATTGACATTTTTCAAGATATAAGCTCATCCTGATGTTACACTCATCGAGACCTTTCATTTGAGTACCCACATGCATTTTTTGATATATTTGTCATATATAAATATATATAATATATAATATATATAAATATATGAAAAATGCATGTGGGTACTCAAATGAAAGCTCTTGATAAGTGTAACATCAGAATGAGCTTATATCTTTAAAAATATCAAGAGTTAAGAAAGTACAGTGTAATTTTACAAAAGTCAGTATTTAATATAGCAAAATTTTATTTATTCATAGTTTACAAGTCACGTAGTGACTGCAAGGTTGCTAGTTTCAATGATTTTCTTAAATAAACAGTCAAATTTTAATAAAAATTTACTTGGTATTAAAAAATGAAATTTTTTACATAAAAAAAAATTTAATACTAAAACTTTACAGAATATTTTCTTTAAAAAATTCAACGTTATGAGCTTATATCTTTAAAAATTCAAGAGTTAAGTAAAGTACAGTGTAATTTTACAAAAGTCAGTATTTAATATAGCAAAATTTTATTTATTCATAGTTTACAAGTCACGTAGTGACTGCAAGGTTGCTAGTTTCAATGATTTTCTTAAATAAACAGTCAAATTTTAATAAAAATTTCTTGGTATTAAAAAATGAAATTTTTTTACATAAAAAAAAATTTAATACTAAAACTTTACAGAATATTTTCTTTAAAAAATTCAACGTTAAAATTGACATAAGAAAATTAAAAAAATTTTTCTTAATAATAAACTCTATCTAAAACAATTATTTAAAAAAATTCTTATCATTTATTTTAAATACAAAACTTTAACAATAAATTTTTTTCAATGATAATTTAAAAATTAAAAAAATTTATGACACTGAAGTTAGTAGACGTCTAAAAAATTTTTGATTTTTTTTTTTTAATTAAATTACAACTAAAAAGATATTTCTAAAAAATTGCACTTATAGTTTTTTAAGATTTTTTTTTTAATTGTTCAATTGAAATTTTTTTGATGAAAAATTTCTAAAACTTTTGAAATATCAGCTAGCTTTATTTTGATAAAAATTTCTAAATTTTATCAGATATCTCAAAAAAAAAAAAATAATTAATAAAATCAATATTGTCTTACCCATTCACGTGCCATCAGTAGTAAAGTGGCATTAGATAGTTTTGGTCCAATCAATGGATTCATTTGTGCCATATAACAGCATAGCCAGCTAAATTAACAAAAATAAATTTATTAACCAATACAACATAATTAAAAATTAATTTTTATCCTATAAATTTTATAAATTATAAAATAAATAATTTTTACTCACAATAGCCAGCAAGTAAATGCCGTCAGCATCAAAATAACTTGAAGAATCCTAAAAAAAATATTTTTTTTTTATTTATCAACTATTACAATTTTATTAAAAAAAAAAAAAATAAATTTTTTTGAATTATTAATTGACCAACTTACCCCCGATTAGGGCCCTTGGGAACAAAAAATGGTAAAACAATTCCAATTACACCCCAAAATAATGTAAAAATACACACTGGAAGAGCTGCAGCACCCATTTTTATTTACTAACACTTTTAATTATTTAATCAGCTGTTTAATTAATCAACTATTTATTAATCAAGTGCAATTGATTAATAATTTATTATTTAAAGGAGAATTTTAAGTTGGAGAGTGAAATTTGGGCGTTTTTGTGTAGATAAAATGACGTTAAGTCACATGAGCTGTTCACTCTGAAGTTGTCGCAGTGGAATTACTCTTTTGAAACAGCTGATCGATCACGCGGCAAATTTAAATTTTTTAAAAATTTTTAGAATTTTTTTTTATTGAAAAAATTATTACAAAAAAATTTTAAAAAAATGTCACTTGTAGAAAACTTTAAAAACTATAAGTGCAATTTTTTAAAAAATATTTTTTGGTTATAAATTAATAAATTAAGCAAAATAAAAAATTAAAAAATATCAGCTAACTCTTTATTATTATATTTTTTATTTCAATAATTTATTTTAATTTTTTTAATAGTTAAAATAAAATTGTTTAATTTAAAAATTTAGAAGCTTAAAAAAAAATAAAAAAAAAAAGAATAAAATTCAATTAAAAAAATTCTAAAGATGGCGCGTCAGTAAAAAAAAAAAGATTCAAAATGGCGGGTGTAAACATAAACAAAAGTCGGTTTATTTTTTTTAAGTGATTATTTTAATAAAAAAAAAAAAAAAAGTGTAAAATGTTTAAAACAAAAAAAGTGAAAAAAATTTGGGAAAATTTTTGTGAATATTTAAATAATTTAGAAAAATTATTAAGTGACAATAATGATAATACTATTGATGATAATTTAACAAACTTAATAAATAATTTATGCAAATTTTCAAAAGAATTAAAATTAATAAAATTTAAAAGTGATAATTGCAAAAAAAATTTAGTTGATTTGTTGGATGATTTTGTTTATGAAACAAAAAGCAAGGAGAATTTAAAAAAAAATTTTTTGAGCAAAATGGACGTCGGTGAGTTGAAAGATAATTTTAAAGATCAATTAAAATTAATTGAAGATAATGAGCAGAGAGAATTGTTGAGTAAGGCGAAAAAATTGCTGGTAATATTCGGTGAGAAAAATTTGATGACAGATTTGGAGGTTAGAAAATTAGCGGGTGACGTAATTGAAGTAATTGAAGCGGTAAAAAGTTACGTTAAGGATTTGTCGTCATGCGCGATGAGAGAGAAGATTATTTTGTGCGCTATGCAGCTAATTTTTAGGTTAAAGTTATTTGTTAACCTTGCGGAGCAGAGAGAGGGCGCGGAAATTTGGGGTAAAAATTATTTGTTTAATTGTTTGAGTGTTTGTTTGAGAGTAATTATCGAAACAATTGAAGAGGAGAATTTTGCGGAGGATGAGGAGCGAGAAAATCACTTTATTTATAAAATGGACTTGGCGCTGGACTTGATCAACAAGATGGCGGATGAGAAACTTGAAATGGCCGCGGGAGATTTGAATTTGAATTTGAAAATTCGGCGGGAAAAGACGGAGCTGGTAGAGGAACTTTGGGTGGTTTTGGAAGATATTTTCAGTCATACAATGGCAATTGCGCAAATTTGTACGCCTGAACAGTTTAATTTGATGACGGGGATCAGCAAAACTGTAATTTGCGAGTTTGAGAACTGGAAAAAGCAATTCCTAGCGGAAAAAAGGGACAAAGCGCTGTTTAGTTTGTTCGGTAACGCTTTTATGGACGCGATTTATCGCCTGGAGAGGGCGGTAAATGTCGCGATGCTCCAGCTGATGATGGAAGTCTTTAGCGAGCCTTTTGCTGCTTTGAAGAAACTGGTCAAGATTTGCGGGAATAGTTTGGAAAAAGACCGCCGCAAGAAGGAAGACTTGGAAAAGGCTGTTGAAGAGTTTGATCTTATTGCCGACAAAGCGCTCCAAATTGGGCTCTACGCTGCGGCTTCTTGTGGAAATTCAGCCCGTAAGTATGATTTTTTTTTTGCACGCCTCATAACGCGAACTTAAGGTAGTGCTTTACTACCAATTATACAATTTATTTTTTCCCTAAAAAATAAATAAGCGTTATGAGGCGTGAACATTAAAATTTTCCGACCTATATTTTGAATAAAATTAAATTTACAGGCGGGTTAAAAATCCGCAACCACATGGCGTCGCTGGAGTCCTTAGACCTCGAATTAGTAGCCTCAATAACCTCATTCTACCTCGAACCCTCAAGAGAACTGCGCTCGGCAGTAAAACTCCTTACAACTCAGTGGCAAAACGAAATGAACAACCTCCACAAATCGATCAATTTAATCCTAGATCCCTCCGCTTACTGCCAAGTAATCCTCGATGACCTTCAGGAGCGTTTCCAGTTGGTCTCAGACGCTTTCGAGAGCCACCAACCGGTCACCCAGTCCCAGATAAAAGTAATAGTCTACCGCGCTTGCGCCCTAGCCTCCCAAATTACCACCGCTGTAGATGACATAGGTACCGACAGTATCGACAAGCAGACAATAATGACAATCCGCGAGTTAAAGGCCGCCATCTATGAGACAGACGCCGCGGCAAAGACACTGCTGACCCCTACATCGACGCTTCCACAACAATTAAGAGTTATAAAACGCTGTGAGCTTCTAATTAGCGTAATTAGGCGCCTTCAACCCGCTTTAGAGGCCATTAATTCTAAGATTACTTCTTCTTTTATAAGCAGAGCAGATGTCTCTGCTGAAGAAAGCTTTAATTTTATTAAAACTCCTTATTCTGTTAAGAGTTACAAATCTACCGTTACAATTCAATTTGATGATGATGATAAAATTGATCCAAGTGATTTAAGCTGCTTGATTCCTTATATTGAACGTGGAAGGACTATGAGATCAGAGTTTTCCGTTTTGTACAAAGATAATTTAGTTGAAGATGAAGACAAAGAAAATTTTAGTGGAAATAAGCGAGGTAAAAATTTGGGAGGAAAAATTCTGCAAGAAATCTTTGATAACAATCAATTGGACGGAAATTTTGATGGAAATTCAAAGGAAGATATTAAAAAAGTAAAATCAAAGCGCAATTTGAACAATGTTAGGCAGCATTTATTTAACCGCGATGATTACTCTATAATTGGAAGTGATGAGGGTTTAAAATATGAAGATTTTGATGTAAGCTTGGACTTGACGGGAATATTAGAGAATATTTCTGGTTTGGTTGAAGAAGAAGAAGAAGAAGAAGAAAGAGATGATGTAAGCTCGGTTATTGATAAAGAAATGGATTGTTGCAGAAATTCTAGCATTGATTCTGAGGGGAATTTTGTAATTGACGGCGCTGGAGACGCTGGAAGTATCAGCAGTATTGACACTCCTGAGAGGATCAGTGATATCAAGAAGATAGATAAGAAAATAGAGAGTTTGCAAAGAAGAGTACATTTTTCATAATTGAATAATTTATTGTTGAGATAGTTTAAACCTAAGTTTAGTATTTTGTACTTTTTCATGTAAAAGTTTAAAGTTATTTAGATTTAAGTTTGTTTAATGTAAAATTATTTAAAATAAACATTTTGAAGTTGATAAAAATTACTTTCCTTGTTGATAAACAATGACCTGTTATTTATCAATGTTTATACTCAAAAGTGTTGCAATTGAATAAAACATAACTAAATAAAGAATCTGGATAGTTAGTTTGAATTTATAACATATAGGGAAACTATATTGATATAAATTCTGTATTTAAAATAGTATTTTAGTTCTTTTTGAGTTTCCAATAACTAGTTACTTGACGGGTTTAGAGAAATGAATCTAGATAAATTTATTTATATTATATTTCTACCAATTGTACTGAGTGAAAGTGATGAAATAATGGAAAGGATTCATACCGTGGAAGCATTTGATACTCAGCCGGTAAATTTGGGCCCTTCAAACTTGGAATCAGTTGTTCTAATGTTTAAGTGTAGTAATGTCACTTGTCCATGTGAAGGGAAGAATCAAGGTATCAAGAATAACGACGACTATCAATACACACCGGGTATTGGGTATCACAAGCTTCATACCCGTGGATTGAATTTCAATAACGCCAGGAAAATTTGCTATGAAGAAGGCGGACATCTTGCTGTTATCAATTCTCTTCGAGAAGAACAAGTAAGAACTCTTCTGCAAACGACTCATGATGCGAAGCATTGAAATGAGCATTATGAGTTGTGCATTTTTGGATTTTCCAAATATTTTATTTATTTAAACCATTATTAGGCAAGCGATTGATCAAATAATTTTTTGCTAATAGGCACTGCTAGAGTTGATCAATCGTTCGCTAAAATTCCTAAATGTTGAAAATGAAGAGCAAGTTTTCATTGGCATCCATGATTTGTACTCAGAAGGCGAGTGGGTGACAGTTTTAGGTGACCCTCTTTCTAAGACCGGGTACTCTAAGTGGAGCGACACTTGGTGGAGTGGACAACCGGATAATCTTGGGGGAAATCAAAATTGCGGGAGCTTGCTCAAGCAGGGAGGAATGGATGATGTCAACTGTAACTCGGTGTTTGCGTTTATCTGTGAAATTTCTGAATTTTGAAAATATTTTACTTTTCAGATTACTTATTATAAGTAAATTTTGTTGAATGTAAAATGTTTCAAAATTAATATTAGTAAAATGAACATTTTGAAGTTGATAAAAATTTTTAGATATGTTTATTATCTTTTACTCACTTCCCTCAATTCTGATAACCAATGACCTGTTATTTATCAATGTACTCAAAAGTATTCTAATTATATTACTCATAATTAAATAAAAATTTTGGTAGTTAGTTTGAAGTTATTGAAACGTCGTCACTTAAATTCGGAGCAATGAGGTAAATATATTGAGATAAGTTCTTGAATTTTCAATAACTAATTATTTAACAGATCTGGAAAAATGAATCTACAAAAATTAATTAACATTATATTTCTACCAATGATACTGAGTGAAAACGATCAAACACTAGAAAGTGTTCAAACCATAGAAGTATCTGATAGTCAGCCGCTACATTTGGGCCCTTCTAACTTGGAATCAATTGTCCTGATATTTAAGAGTACTAATGTCACCTGTCCATGTGAAGGGAAGACTCATGGTATCAAGAAGAGGGAAGACTATCAGTATACACACCAGGAATTGGATATCACAAGTATCATGTCATTGGAATGACCTTCAATGATGCCAGGAAAATTTGCTATGAAGAAGGCGGACATCTTGCTATTATCAATTCTCGTCAAGAAGAACAAGTAAGAACTCTTCTGGAGTACTCATGATGCGAAGCATTAGAGAGTACTTTACGATCGAAAAATTTTTATCGCTTTATTTCGGCAGTTTTCTTATTATTATACTCTTGTTAGTTAACAGAATCAAGATATTTCGCATGCCTAAAGGTAAAAGAGCGTGTAATAATTTATGCGCAAAGGTAAAAGGGCACATTTTTTTTTATTGCCAATCGCGTAGTAGACACATTCTACGCTTAAAATTGAAAAAAAAAATTGTAAAGGTAAAAGGGCGTATGTCTTTAATTATACGGCCTTTTACTTTTAAGAATTCAAAATTTTGGTGATCTAAAGGTGAAAGGGCGTATATTTTTTTTTCGGCCAGTTTACAAAAGAACATATTCGTAGTTTAAAAATGTGAAAATAAAACTTTCTGTGGTAGTAGCGGCGTAAAACCTCAACTATACAATTTTTTAAAGTTAAAAAAGAAAATATATCGAAAAAACAATAAATTACGCGTGATTATTTTCGTGCTTTTTATTTTAAGAAATAGTTATTATAAAATTTGGATTCTGGATTGTTGATCATGATGAAACAGCTGTTGTGTGAACGGCGCCAGTAGTTATATTCAATAGGGCGATTAAAGCGAGAAATTTCAAAATATTTCAATGTTATCTGTCATTGTGATTTTTTCTATTACTTAATTTGTTTTTGATTGATTTATTTTCTATTTGTTTATATCAAACTTTGTATATGAGGCTGTTGTTTTGGTATAACTTGTCTTGTGAAACTATTACTTAACATTTGGTATCAAAACTACAATTTCTTTCATGCGCCCTTTTACCTTTAAGTAGTACTTTTCTTAAAGCTGAAAGGGCGCATGTCTTGAGATACGCCCTTTAAGCTTTAGGATACCAACTATTTTTTTCACAGATTTTTACGTTTCAGACAATTTCAAACCAAATGGCAAAAAACAATTTTTCTATACGCTCTTTCAGCACAAATCCCTATTAACCTTTAGCTATAAGCCCTTTTACCTATAAGCACGCGATATATATTATGTAATGTACCCCGCTAGGGGCGCCTTTTGGATTTTCCAAATTTTATTTATTTATACCAATAGTAGGCAAGCGATTGATCAAATAATTTTTTGCTAATAGGTACTGCTAGAGTTGATCGATCATCCGAGAAAATTCCGGAATGTTCAGCTCGAAGATCAATTTTTCATGGGCATCCATGACTTATTCTCAGAAGGCGAGTGGGTAACAGTTTTAGGCGACCCTCTTTCTAAGACGGGGTACTCTAAGTGGAGCGAAACTTGGTGGAATGGACAACCGGATAATCTTGGGGGAAATCAAAATTGTGGGAGCTTGCTCAAGCAGGGAGGAATGGATGACGTCAATTGTAACCTGACCCTTGCGTTTCTCTGTGAAATTCCTGAAGTTTAAATATTTTTTACTTTTCAGATAACTAATTATAAATGAATCTAAAAATTATATTTTCAATCTTGAAATTATTATACATTACATTATAAATCATTATTTTACAAAAAACAAAATACTTGAATAAAAAACATTATTGTCTTCAAATTAATATTTTTTAATTAATAAAACTTATTTTTAATTCAATAAATTTTTCTTAAATTAATATTATTATTTCAAAATTTTGAGATCAAAATTCTTTCGTTCAAAACTACAATTAAGAAGGTTCGAGCGAATCTAATGTGAAAAATAATTTCCAACTTTGAGCTTTGAAATTAAGTATACACGTAATTTATCTAATCCCAAAATTTAAAAAAGATTCACCGTTTAGTTACTTAGATATTAAATTAAAAAAATCACATTTTTATCTCCTTATACACGGGGTCTTATGGCGGACAAACGTTTAGTCGAGACTTTAATTATTTTTTTCAATATTAACCTCCCAACTTTAACGAATAAAAAACTATACACGCAAAACTTGGATTATTGTAAAATATAAAAAAAATTTAATAATAATACATTACCGATATAATTTTCGAAATATTTAAAGTTTAATTTAATGTTTTTGACTGGTTTATCGTCATCTATTTATTCGAATAAAGATTTGGCAACGTCGCGTCAACAGCTGAGAAAAAACAAAAGGATAGAAATATAGTTACAGAGAGAGAAATATTTAACTGACACACTCATCCACGTCTCTGTAATGGGTATAATCAAACGCGCTGTTGCCAAATCTGTTTATTTAATCCGGCAAGTAATAAATACCAAAGTCATTTTATTACTTTATTTTATTAAATAAGTAAAAATCATCAATTATTAAATTGTTCAAATTATTTTAAATTAAGATAAAGAATTTTGACGAATATTGGGAAGACTGAAAGTAAAAAAAAAATATTTTTGCTCATAAGTTACACTGGAACCTTCTTAATAAATGGAATTCATTGTTTAAGAAGAATATGCATTCAGTTCAAGAATGTCGATATTAAAATAACCTCTTGACACTATTATTTAATTACATAAGTCATAATTTCACAACTTGTTTGATTCTAAAGTACACAAAAGCTGTTACATTGTTGTCATCTGATTCTTGCTTTATAGATAATAATTTTTTCATATTTCTTCTGGTATATAACAAATAGTCTTCTTTATGCGCTTTTAATTATAAATTCACACCAACCACAATGACCGTGCGAGACAAAAATATTCTTATCTCGGTCATATCAAAGATTGGAGTAATTTGTTTGATCCTTCCAATTATTTCTGCTCGAATTCTCGGCCTTACTTCTCCTCTGGGTAAGTTTCTCTTTCGAAAATAACCATTAATTATATTAATATAATTAATATAACTGATCTGCTGCAGGACCGATCAACAAATGCGAGACTGATGAGTGCAAAACGGAACGTTTGGAAACTGGTGAGTCCCTTGTTCTTCTTACAATTAGATTAATAGCTTTAAAATTGAACTGAAAACTTCAAAATTTGCCGACAGCCGCATTGATTCTGAAGTATCGCGATGATACGACCTCACCTTGTGACAATATCTTCCAACATGTGTGTGGAAACTACGAAAAATCCGACCTGACCCACAACTACGACTTCATCGAATCCACGAGGACCGCCTTCAGGGACAAGATGATTGGAGAAGAAATGGAGTGGGTTGATAAATCGACAGTCTACAAGCTGATCCATGACTTTTACACAGTTTGTATGGACGAAAGTAAGTCTTAAAGGCACTTTAAAATTAAAAATCATTGTAAAAACACTTTTGATTACCTATACTAAGAGAAGCGTGCAAAAATTCCTTTAATTTTCGCTCCGAGTAGAGGCTGGAGGAGAAAAGGCTTGGGAAACTCTTAAGAGCGCGATAAATTCACTGGGTGGATGGCCAGCTGTAGAAAGCGACCAGTGGAAAGAAGCTGACTTCAATTGGATAGATTTTATTAGTAACGCCAAGAAATTAGGTTTCAAAAGTCCTTTCCTCCACTGGGTGCCGAAAACTGACGATGAGATGACTGTTTTGACATTCTCTCTTCAAGTGAGTATCAAAATTCGCTTGATTTTTCCTCGGGACTAACAAGAAGACATTAATCACCCAGATGCCTTCATCCCACTTCGAGGAAGGAATAGACCCGGATATACCGTTGCACAGACAAATTTACACCGACCTTATGTTCAAAATGGGTTTTGACTTGGGCGCTACTGACAAGAAGATCGACAAGGACTTGGACGACGCGGTAGAATTTGAATATGCGTTGTATAACTTGACCCGTTACGACACAGCCGTTCCCCTGAACATGATGATGGAAGAACTTCAGAAGGAATACCCCAGTGTTGACTGGAGCAAGTTTGTAGAGAAGACGCTAACACCTTACCTAGATGCCGGGGATAAGCCAGTTTTGAGTGTCGACAGCCCAGGTCGTATGAAGAAATTCTTTGACCTTATGGAGAAGACACCAAAACGGGTCCAAGCTACCTACGGTGTTTGGAAAGTGATCCAGTCCGCGATTCCTCTTCTAAGAGGAGCCTACCCGAAGATAAGGGAAGAGTTCCGTGAGCTTCTTAACCAGGCCGAGATACCCCGCGAAGCTTATTGCGATGAAATGACCACTAACTATGCTGACCTTGCAGTTGCGAGATACTATTTGGATCATTTCGAGAGCAGCAAGGAAACTATCGGCAATATGTTCTCGATGATCAAGGGGAAGATTATTGAGATGCTTAAGGAATCCAAGAAGCTGTCGGAAGACGAAAAGAAGCAGGGCGTTGAAATTATGGAGAAGATGGACTACACTATTGGGTCATCGAAGAAGCTTTCTGATGTTAAGGAATTGGAGAAGTACTACGAAGACGCGAAACTTGTGACGGATAACCTCCTCCAGTCGGTTTTGAACATGAATATCTTCAAGAGGATGAGGAATTACAGCAACAAGTGGAGGGCTGAGCAGTTTGCTCCGCAGAAGCTTGCTTCTGCGGGAATGCCTGAGAACTTCGAAAATCATTTGTGTAAGTGGCTTGTTGGTGCTAAGTCACCAATGGTGACTCACCATTAGGATCAGTATGAGTCCTAATCTTGACGTCTTTTGCAGACATACCAATAAGCATGATTCCCAATTTGATGTTCGACAACAATCTTCCGATGTACTTAAACTTTGGTGCTGCTGGAAGCATGATGGCCCAGGCAATGTTCAGCTCAGTAGCACACTTGGGGAAGACATTCGCTGAAGATGGCAAGGTCATTCCTGATGATCAGTACAAGTGCTTCATGCAGATGACGGACAATTTTACCGATCCGATGATCAGGGAAGCTGTAAGTATCAAAGATTCCAATTCTGGGGCTGATGGTTGATGATTATGTTGCTGTTATAGCTCTTAGAGAATGCGCTGGATGAGATGTTGGGTCTGTATATCGGCTTCCAGGCAGCCTATAAAGCCTATCATCAGTACGTAGCTGAATCTGGCCCTGAATTGGCCCTACCCGAGGTGCCATACACTGTTCCACAACTATTTTGGGTAGCTTGGACCCAGGTACTTTGCTACGCAAAAGGCGAAGAAATACCCTTGCCCAAACCGTTTGAAGGCTCGGATCTCAATGTTATGGAGTACGCGAACATGATGATGATGGCCAATGTACCCCAAATTTCAGAGGACTTTAAGTGCCCCGTTGGCTCGTTGATGAATCCTCAGAAGAAATGTACTTGGTGGTAGGCTTTTAGATCAATTCAATGTTATTATTGTATATATATATTAATTCAATAAAAAATCTCATTGAAAATTATAAGACAAAAATATATTTTTCAACTTCCCGCTGAAAAAATAGAAGATTTTCAAAAATAAAAAAAAATATGTTTTTTTCGGGATTATTTTGATATTTCTCGTTCGAAAAAAAAATTGTCAAATTTTCTGAAATAATAAATTTCAATTGAATAAAAAAAATCGGCCCTAGCCAACTTTGAAAAAATAACGATTTTGTTTAAAAAAAAAAAACGATTATTTTATAGAATTGATTGTATTTAATTTTTTTTGTGTATTTTTTCAAAAAGTTCATTCAAAAACAAAAATTAAAAAAAATAAAAGGTACCCAAAGGTCAATGTCTAAAAAAGTTATAGCTATTTGAAAATAAAAAAGCCAATTTTTTGGGAAATTCAAAACTTTTTTTGGGTTGGATAAAAAAATTCTCAAAAATGTTTTTCAAAGGGTAGAAAAGAATGATAATGTTTCAGCTAAATCTAAACATGTTAAATAATATTTATAAATTAATAATAACATCACATTGATATACTACATATTGAAAAAAAAAAAAAAAAAAACAAATCTGTTTATTGTTAAGATAAGTGACCTCTTACTCTTGACATTTGTTACAAGCCATATCCCCGAGCTTTGTTCGATAATCACTTCTTTACTTATTAGATTAGATTAACTACACTCTCTATATTACATTAGATCACCGAGTGCTCTGCATAAGATATGACGCCATACTTTTTCATGTTTTGCTCCACTTATAAGTATACAGATCCGGTATTTCCCAAACTTATCAAAATAATACAAATATTTTGATAATATTCCACTAAAATGTCTTCCGTAAACAAACATGCTCCGAAAAGGCTTTCAATATCAAGGTGTTAAATATTTCGTAAGCGTTGTCTTCAGTTTTGCTTTGGTTATACCTTGTGTGCTGATGTCATCTATTCGCAAAAACGGTAAGCATAAACGACTAGCGACACCTTTTGGCGGGAATTTGCAATAGGAATTAGAATAAATGACAATTAATTTAATCTAATTGATTTAGACGTTAAGCTCCGCAATGAGAATGTAAACCCTTGCGACAATTTCTATCAATATGTCTGTGGTAATTACAACGACTCAATAACACCTGAAGAAAAATTCAAAAGCCATACGGTTGAAGCTGGCAAACTGGTAGAAGAATTAATTCAAGAAACTGCAGCGCGTAATAATGAATTTAGACCCTTCAAGCTTATCGAATAAGTCTACAACACCTGTATGAATAGTAAAGAAAGTGAGTTTTTGGGTTTGGAGGATCTAAAGTATTGAATTTTGATGAATTTTATAGAAACAATTGCGTTGGAGAGTTATTGGCCCTTAATACGAATTGTAAAAGAATGGAAGGCGTCAGAATTCGATTGGGTAGACTTCATGATCGAGGGGCAAGATATTGGAATGCCGGTCAAATTTTTGGATATTCAACCTGAGGCTACTCCTGAGGACCATTCAATCAGCATGACGTACATCTTGAATGTAAGATTTAGTTATTTTTTTACAAAAAAAACCCGTTTGCACGACTCATGATGATTTTTTATTCTATTATACTTACCCATATAGCAATCTGTTTCAAGTCTTGATCAAGTCTGGTCTTAATTTCGATAGTTGTTAGTGTCTTTTTTTACCTATGGGTCTTGCTCCAGATACTTGTAGCAAATTCAATTGACAAGTCTTAAACAAGCCTTGTACAAGAACTTTGAGCCAGATTATAGCTCAAGAATTGTGTAAGAAAATTGAGAAAATTTGAAGATGCTTATCGATAAACTAACTATATCAATTCTTGAGAAAGACTGACACCAGAAGCATGCTGAATATACTTGTGCAAGACTTGCTCAAAATCTGCTCAAGATCAAATGTTTTCGAATGACCGTTCGTATCATTCTACCCCTCCTATATTTACTATAGGATCAGTGGATCTCATTCAGCTTAACCTTTTAGAGTATAGACCTACTGTTTTATCGATCAAGACAAAATTATTTTAAAATTACCACCACTGAATCAATAGATCTTCAAGTAGTGGAGGGGAAAAAGTGCTATTAAATATATAATGCATGATGCATCTTGAGCAAGTTACGCTTCAACATTTGCTGTTAGTTTTTGGTTGACAAATGCTTTAGAAATGAACAAATTACTGAGAATTACGGATCTTGAGCAAATCTTGAGCAAGTCATGGGTAAGTGTCTGTTGTGAGTTTCTGATTCAAAAAATCCGTCAGAAAGTTTTTCAATGCACCTTGCATTAGACTAGTCTCATATTCTTGCACAAGATCTCTTGAGCTAGTTATATATAAATCTTAAACCAGTTTTTTTTACATGAACTTGAGCAAGACCCATATGTAGAAAAAGACAGTAACAACTACGGGTTTTGCTCAAAACACTGGCACCTAAATCTTGCTCAAGCAAATGTTACCTGGGTTCATAATTAAATAAGCATTATAAGTGCATTTTTGAATTTCCCAAACTTTTTTCAGATTGCTCCTGATGAGTTTAAAAAAAACATTTCTGATCCTGGAGATATGTTGAGAATATCTTACACAGCTTATTTAATGGGAGCGTTCACAAGTTTGGGAAACACATTAACAAATGATCAAATAGAAGAATTGGTTGAATTTCAACGTAAAATTTCCGAGGTACGTCCAATAATTCTTCAAAAGTTTCCATCAACTACTGATAAATAATTGCCTTCCAGATCCACCAGCGTTCCTACGACGGACCGCATCTAACTAGTACCACTTTCGAAGATCTGACCAGAAAATACCCTTCAGTAAATTAGGAAAGATTGATCTCCAAGATCCTCCTCAGGAACATCAAGCCCGCTACCAAAATCCAGGACCTGGTCTTTCTGGTCCCTCCATCTTTCTCCGACTTCTTGGATCTCCTGGCAAACACACCCAAAAATTTTCAAGCGAATTACGCTGCGTGGAAGATACTCCAGAACGCAGTTCCCTTCTTGGACAAGTCCTTCTTCCAGGCTGAGTCTATATACTGCTCGGAAAAGAATTGCAAGGATAGAACCCGTAAAAACGCGTGTCTTAATCTAGTAGAAGAATATTTGAAGCCTGCTGTTATTCTGGCGTATGCTAAAGCTCACTTTACTTCAGAGGTTGAATCACTGGTCGTTGATATAGCTGCCAGGATCAAGGATCAGTACATCCAGGTGATAAACCAGTCGGCTTGGTAGGACCAGCAGGCCAAAGACAGAGGCGTTGAAATCATCAAAGACACCCGAATTATCGTTGGTTATGATCAGAGGGAGAAAAGCGACGCAGATTTTGTAGAATTCTACAAAGATTTGGAGATTAACACTACAAATTTCTTGCAAACGATGATGAACTTGGAGAAATTCGACGTCAAGCATAGGTTCAACAACGCTACGAGTCTAGGACCAACGGAGCTGGTGGATCCGCTCAGGAATTTCTTCTTCAGGAACGTCAGAGGGACTATTTGTAAGTATCTTTGCAAGAACATCAACATCCAAGCATTCCGAGCTTGAGAAAGGTTTAAGTGAGCAATTCAATTGTTTGCAGACATGCCATTGTCCTCCCTTGCGGAACCTTCCTTCAACCCTCGTGATCCAATCTACAAGAACATTGGATCTATGGGCGGGTTCATTGCTTTCATCTTGACCAAAAATATCGTTCATCTTGGCAGGAACTTGGACGGCGGCAAGGAAATTGATAACCAAGTCATTTCTTGTCTTCGGCGACAATTGATTCCTTTGCAAAACCCGGCAGCTAATCAGTTGGTAAGTTAGTTTTTTTTAAATCGCCATTTTGTCGGGAAATCTCTTAGGTTAGATATTTTTCAGCTGAACTCACTGGATTTGGAGATTCAATCGCAAATGGCGTTCAAAATTGCGTATCTAGCTTACCGACAGTGGGTTACTGAGCATGATAAAGAAGATGTTGACAATAAGTGACAATAAGCTCTTCTGGATTAATTCCATGGAAGCTTTCTGCAGAAAAGAACCCACCGCTACTAAGGTTATAGAGAATAAATACCATGATTTTGAGTACCATATTTTGAAAGCTTTGACAAGCGTACCTCAATTTTGGGAAGACTTCAGTTGTAAGAAGGATCAGTCGGTATTTGTCGAGGAATTCGGCGAATCATGCGCTTATTTATAAAGTTGGTGAATTTGTAACCTTAATTTTGGTCAAATAAATAGGAATGATTTTTATGGAAATTTAACTGTGTTTTTTTGTAGAAATCGGCTCCTTTTTGATTTGGTTCAAGCGAATCTGATGTGAAAAATAATTTCCAACTTTGAGCTTTGAAATTAAGTATACACGTAATTTATCTAATCCCAAAATTTAAAAAAGATTCACCGTTTAGTTACTTAGATATTAAATTAAAAAAATATCACATTTTTTATCTCCTTATACACGGGGTCTTATGGTGGACAAACGTTTAGTCGAGACTTTAATTATTTTTTTCAATATTAACCTCCCAACTTTAACGAATAAAAAACTATACACGCAAAACTTGGATTATTGTAAAATATAAAAAAAATTTAATAATAATACATTACCGATATAATTTTCGAAATATTTAAAGTTTAATTTAATGTTTTTGACTGGTTTATCGTCAGCTATTTATTCGAATAAAGATTTGGCAACGTCGCGTCAACAGCTGAGAAAAAACAAAAGGATAGAAATATAGTTACAGAGAGAGAAATATTTAACTGACACACTCATCCACGTCTCTGTAATGGGTATAATCAAACGCGCTGTTGCCAAATCTGTTTATTTAATCCGGCAAGTAATAAATACCAAAGTCATTTTATTACTTTATTTTATTAAATAAGTAAAAATCATCAATTATTAAATTGTTCAAATTATTTTAAATTAAAATAAAGAATTTTGACGATTATTGGGAGGACTGAAAGTAAAGAAATAATTTAAACATTATTTTGACTCATAAGTTACGCTCGAACCTCCTTAATGGAAGTAAACTTCTTTCGATTTGGCTGAAAGTTTTTTTGATCCTTTCCTGCTCTATAAAAAGATTTTTCAGAATTTTTTCAATTTTTCTATTCAACCAGAAAAAAGTTATGAATTTTTGAAAAAAAAAAAAAAATGGCTTTTTTTTATAATATCAAACTATGACGGTATCGATATTTTTTTTTTTTTAATTAAAATTTTTATAAAATTGACTTCTTGGCATATTTTGATAGTCTATGCCTTTAAAAATAACCCAAAGAAATTTTGAAGAAGTTTAAGCTATAAAATAAAAATGTTTGGCTTATCAACCCTTCAAAATTTTAGATTTACACTGCTGATTATTCCAAAAAATAAAATGGAACTTTTGAATAATTTTTTTTTCAGATTTAGTTAATTTAAATCTTATACTATATACCAAAATTACAGTGACTTGTTATTTCCGTAAAAGATCTGAAAATAAGATCGAAAAACAATTTCCACTTCAGCTGCCTTACTTCTATTATATTTTTGTAAAATTAAAAAAAACAGAAGAAAAAAACTATTCAAGTGTTGCTTACGATAAAATTTGTAAGAACTCATTAGCCGGACGCTGTCAGCCCCCGTAGAGATAATCTCTATGACCTCAGAAACTAGTCCTATCTTTAGTCTCTATCTCTTTTACTTAAAATCTCCTGACCATTAGTGACACAGAGAATGTTCTTGTAAACATGCGACAAATACTTTGCCATCTGTCGTTAAGTTTTGGGGCAGGTTGCTACCTGAAAAGCCATCACATTTCCAGGCACCGAAAATTGGTCAGTCTACAACGATCACTCGAACAAGCAGTCTCGTTCCCAAATAAAATAAAAACTGTACAACTTAGCAAATAATAATATTTATCCAATCAAATTAGTTACGTAATCGGAATTCCCGGTTAAAAGGGAGTAAGATTATTGTGATTCTCCCAATTGGTTTTCCCGGACTAGGGGACAGAATAAGATATAAGCTTGCTTCAGAATAGCCTGGACCACTTGGTCACCGTCTACGGTACCGTAAAACTTCAAAAATGTTTCCCGGGCTACTTTTCACGAGTTTTGTCATTTTCTGTTGGACTGATGTGCTCGCTGGTCCTATCACTACAAGCGACACTTTCAATATCAGTGAGTAAAATTTTACGACTCATGATGCAAAGCATCAGAGAGTGTTTTACGATCGAAAAATTTTCTTCGCCTCATTTTGGCAACTATTTTTATTATTGCACCCTTGTTAGTTTACAAAATCAAAATATTTTGCATACTATTGTCAAGATTATTTAACGAAGATTAATTCCATACTTTTCAAAAGTTTATTTAGTGCAATAGAAACGGAAAAAAAACATCAAAATAGTTTAAAAAATTATCCGTCCGTCAAGTATGAAACTTGTAAATACTGTAGCTTGCCAAAAAAATCCATTAATTGAGTCAAATTTTTTTTATTTAATTCTTTAAAGGAATTGCAGGTGCCCTATTGAAAATGGCTATGTGACTCAGTGTCGTTTAATTGCAATTAATACAATAAAAAAACCAAAAGACTGTATGTCTAGTTGGTTCTGTAACAGTTCAACCGCGACAGTTCAACTGCGACATTTCAACCGACGACTTTTCAACCGAAGGACAATTCAATCGCAAGACAATTCAACCGATGACAGTTTAACTGCAGTTTTCCTGATAAATTGATCACAAAATCCATGATAATAGGGTACAATAATCATTTTTTTATTTTTGAAATACTGCGAAAAAAACTTTATAATTGTGATTATTAGTATTATTATTATTACATATCTTGAAATGCAACAAAAACTACATTTCTGACCGTTTTTTATATATTTAAAAACGAAATAACGAATATACAGTAATGTTAGATGACGATTAATTTAAATAATATCATGATAAATTACAACGACAAAACAGACGCAATATCATGAAGATACTTCAATTTATTTGTAGATTTATAGTCAGCAACGATATTATGAACACAAACGCGGGTAATTGTGTTGCGCCCTTTTAACATGGTTTTTATGTGTGTTTATTCGACATTAGACCAACACAGAAGCTTGTTACCGTGTTAGGCCCATTTATCATGGATTTTGTCATCAATTTATCAGAAAAACTGCAGTTAAACTGTCATCGGTTGAATTGTCTTGCGGTTGAATTGTCCTTCGGTTGGAAAGTCGTCGGTTGAAATGTCGCGGTTGAATTGTCACGGTTGACTAGTCGCGGCACCGTCTAGTTATATTATGTACATTTATTCCATTAGAGGTGCCTAAGTATTATTGTCATACTACAGCTGTTTTATATTTTTTTTCCGCATTTTTATTTTATTCAATTATTATGCTACATATAGATTGAATTTACAAATTTTCAGGAAATTTTAAAAATTTGACTAATTGATCATCCTTACAACTATATTATAATGACCAATTTTTCAGCTTTGATGATAAGAAACAACCTTAACACCACAGCGAATCCTTGTGACAATTCCTACCGTTTTGTGTGCGGTTCCTCGAACAGACTTGCTCCGAAACTAGGTATTATCACCTTTACTAATTTAATTACCACTCGTATAACGGATTTGATCGAGGAAGGAACCGTTTCCAAGGGGATTAGACCCTTCCAGCTGATTGATGACGTCTACAAGACCTGCAAGAGTAATGGTAAGTTAATCAACAAATGTTAATTCTGCAGAACTGACCTTTTGGCACTGTTTTATAGCAGCCATTGGGGAACAAGTTGTCAAGAGCTTGTTCCACGTCTTTGAGCAACTGGGCGGTTGGCCGTTGCTGCAAGGTTCCCAGTGGCAGACGAAGGATTACATGTTGACAGACGTCACTCTTCGCAGCAAGTTGCTAGGAATTTCCGTCAACCCGTTTCTGACTATCGAACCGCTTATCGAGCCTGAAAGCGGCCGTGTGGCGACGGAATTTTTCGTATCCGTAAGTTTTTTAAAATTTCTCCCGGACTTGCAGCTTTATTTCCAACTAACATGTTCTTTTCTGCAGATTGATCCACCAGAGTTTAACAGATGCATTATCAACGGATGGGATCCACTGCTAGTTGCCTACTCAACCTACCTTAAGAAAGCCTGCAAGTTGATAGGCTGCCAAAAAACGCATTCCGACGAAATCAAAGACATTGTCGACTTAGAATGGAAGCTTTCAGAAGTGAGTAGACTGGATTCCGATGATGCCATACCCATATAACAATCTTTTTCAAGGTTTGAACAAGTCTGGTCTCAATTTCGATAGTTGTTAGTGTTTTTTTCTACCTATGGGTCTTGCCCCAGATACTTGTAACAAATTCAATTGACAAGTCTTGAACAAGCCGTGTACAAGAACTTTGGGCCAGATTACAGCTCAAGAATTGTGGAAGAAAATTGAGAAAATCTGAAGATGCTTATCGATAAACTAACTATATCAATTCTTGAGAAAGACTGACACCAGAAGCATGCTGAATATACTTGTGCAAGACTTGCTCAAGATCTGCTCAAGATCAAATGTTTTCGAATGACCGTTCTTATCATTCTACCCCTCCTATATTTACTATAGGATCAGTGGATCTCATTCAGCTTAACCTTTTAGAGTATAGACCTACTGTTTTATCTATCAAGACAAAATGATTTTAAAATGACCACCACTGAATCAATAGATCTTCAAGTAGTTGAGGGGAAAAAGTGCTATAAAATATATAATGCATGATGCATCTTGAGCAAATCTTGAGCAAGTCACGCTTCAACATTTGCTGTTAGTTTTTGGTTGACAAATGCTTTAGAAATGAACAAATTACTGAGAATTACGGATCTTGAGCAAATCTTGAGCAAGTCATGGGTAAGTGTCTGTTGTGAGTTTCTGATTCAAAAAATCCGTCAGAAAGTTTTTCAATGCACCTTGCATTAGACTAGTCTCATATTCTTGCACAAGATCTCTTGAGCTAGTTATATATAAATCTTAAACCAGTTCTTTCTACATGAACTTGAGCAAGATCCATATGTAGAAAAAGACACTAGCAACTAGGGGTTTTGCTCAAAACACTGGCACCTAAATCTTGCTCAAGCACATGTTACCTCTGGGATAATTGGCTCATACCAATCTTTAGCCTTGTCTTTCTTCTTCAGATCTATCACCGACGTGGCTTAATGGATAAACTGACGTACAAGGAATTGACAGAAAAGTACCCTTCAGTATTCTGGTCCAAGCTCCTCAATTCGCTGTACCCTATCAGCAAAGAGAAGCTTAACTTATCCAACATGACGTTCTTCGTCTCCTCGTTTCTGTCTACTGTATTTGAGCTACTAGATGAAACTGATTCTCGCGTGCTGTACAATTACGCCGGTTGGAAAGTCCTTCAACACGCAATTCCTTATCTGACCAAAGACTACCAAGATCTGAGGCGTGAGTACTGCAAAACCCAGGAGTGTGGGGGTTCTCTGCGTGACAAATGTCTTAAAGTCGTCCTAAAATATCTGCAACCTGCGGTTGATTTGTTGTATGCCAAGCGCTACTTCACCGAGGAAGCTGATTCTCTTGTTAGTGCCATGGTAGAAAATATCAAGCGACAAACCAAGGACCTGATCAGCAAATCCAGTTGGATGGACCAGGACACCAAGAAGGAGCACATTGATGCGATAGACAACATACCGGTGATAATTGGCTATGCAGAAAAGAACAGCACGGATGATGAGTTTGTCAAGTACTACGAAGAATTGGAGATCGACACCTCGAATTTCTTCCAGACGCTCATGAATCTAGAAGCGTTTGATAGTCCGCGAAGATTTTACAGCACCAACGGCTTAGGCCCGAGAAATTTTATCAATCCGTTGCTTGCTACTGCAGATTTCTCAGCCGGCAAACTTTGTAAGTTTAATGATTGATGCTTTTTCAATCATTGGTTGAATTTGGATGATTAAAATCGATTTGTTTTTCAGATGTACCCATGAACATGCTTCGAGAACCGTTTTTCAGCGTTGACTACCCAATGAGTGTAAACTACGGTTTCAGTGGTCGGGCAATCGCCAAGGCATTGGCGAGAGGTATCCTTCATCGGCGAGAGCCGAGAAGCCAAGCTATGAAGGACAAAGTTGCGTGCTTCAGTAAACAGGTCGCGAATTACACTTCCCAGGTAAGATTGAAGTTAAGTTAGAATTGTATTTCTTCATCATTATCATCATTTTTGTGACTTTTTTCAGCTTCCGTTCGAGACCAATCTGCTTATTGACGAATACCTAGGTTTTAAGATTTCTTACCATGCATACCAATCATGGTTGTCCTCCATTTCTGGTGGCAGGGAGCCCATGATCCCGGAATTGCCGTACTCTGACCGTCAGATATTCTGGATGAGCTCACTGCAGAAGGATTGTAAGCGACCCTGGAACAAATACAAAACTATTGAGGATAAGTACTTTCCCTTTGAGTTCCGCAAGATGATAGATCTTAGTAACGTTCCTGAGTTTTACGATGATTTCAACTGTCAAAGCCAGCCATTCCTTGAGACACATGGACCGTCATGTACTCTTTTTTGAGTTTGGGTAATTCGTCTAAGATACTCTACAATTACTGTATGATTGAGAAAATATATAATTCTGAAGGTATTTTATCCTGTTGTTTCATTTTTCTGATCCAAAAGAGAAGAAATAGAATCCTTTAAAATTTTTTTACATGACCTCGAAGAGCTCAAAAACTTAGAACAAACACTCATAAATTATATGTTTCAGCTCGAAAAGCTCAAAAAAGTCACGTGCAATTTTAAGCACTTAGATATGGAATTAGCGAGAAGTTGCAGGGATGGCCTTTAATAGGGTCAACCGTATTCCTAATTTTTTTTTACATAAAGTTATGCTAATTCCCACTCTGCCACATTTCATTCTATTGATCAGCTATGCTCTTATGCTATTATGATACTAACTCTTGAACCAGTCTTTCTACATGAACGTGAGCAATAAAATTAATTTTGTTGAAATAATAAGTGTTTTTATTTATAATCTTAAGTAATTTCATTGGAATAATCACTATTTCGATCAACATACTGAGAATTGTTGAAGATATTAATAATGACGCATGTCGAGATAAATAATTATCTTGGTATTGCGCATCTATGCTGTATGTTCTCGTTAAGAAGATCTACATCTTGATTAGTGGTAGTATTATTATTGTTATTATTACCATGCTCTTGAAAATAACATCTGGAATGATGCAACCTAGGATAGTTGAATGGACCACCCACTGATCGAGGGGACCCCAACTAAACAGTCCCCTCTTAGTTTGGGAAGTTTTATTTAGGATAAGATATGAGCGGCGTGACCCAAAGGTTAGTCGAATATCTTCCATTTAAGAACGCTTTTAGTTTATAATATGACGACTTCGGTGCCTGTTATACGTTGCAAGTATGGAATTAATGATTTTGGTTTAGTTATTGCTGTGAAATTATTTTTTTTTATTAATTATTAATTATTGTTGTGTGATTTTTTGCAGAGGCAATCAGTTGTGGCAAGATACAGTTTTAGGATGTATTGTTGGAATTTTTTTTATCGGTACGAGTGTTGCCGGTGTTGTTGATAACACGCAATATATCAGTAAGTTATATATTTATATTAGACTGTTTGAAAATAAATTTTTTTATCTGTAAATTCTGTTAAAAAATGCAAAAATTAAGATCCTGTTTAAAAATAGTTTAAAACTTCGGAATATCTCGTTCCGCAAGCAATGTAGAGTAAAAAGCTTTAAATATCGACCAATGTAGATGAAATGAACATAAAAAAATGTATTTATAAATTTATACGAAGAATTTAACTAAAATGAGTGTTTTTTTTTTAGTTTTAACTTACGGACTATAATACTTTTTTTTTTTTTGTGAAATAAATAATACTAAACATCAAATTGTAAAAATTAACAATTAACAATCGTTTTTCTCTCCGATATATTTATATGATACAATTAATTTTTTTAAATTAAATTGAAAAAATAGAGATCTAAATTCCAGATAAAGTTATTAAAAATAAAATAAAAGAAAATATTTAAATAAATTATTTGTTTAGGTTATTGTTAAATTAAGTTATTTTTTTAAATTTGAATTTTTGCGGGGTTGTGACGTAGTATTATATCCGGTGCGCGACGCCATCTTACAGAGAGTTTAAGAATTATATTTATTTTTTTGTTGTCATTTAAAATAAATCAACGGCTTTTTTGTAATACTAGAATTTGAATTTACGCGCGCAAGCGCGCGCCTTGACTATAGAGTTTGCATATATTTTCATGCTTATGATATATTCGACCAATCACGTTACGAATAGTTTGATGCCACATACATTTCATCTCAATTTTATATTAGGATAAGTTAGATTTTAAATAAAATTAAATTACTAGACATTTTAAGGAGGTTTGAGCGCATCTAATGTGAAAAATAATTTCCAACTTTGAGCTTTGAAATTAAGTATACGTATAAATAAATACGTAATTTATCTAATCCCAAAATTTAAAAAAGATTCACCGTTTAGTTACTTAGATATTAAATTAAAAAAATCACATTTTTTATCTCCTTATACACGGGCTCTTATGGCGGACAAACGTTTAGTCGAGACTTTAATTATTTTTTTCAATATTAACCTCCCAACTTTAACGAATAAAAAACTATACACGCAAAACTTGGATTATTGTAAAATATAAAAAAAATTTAATAATAATACATTACCGATATAATTTTCGAAATATTTAAAGTTTAATTTAATGTTTTTGACTGGTTTATCGTCATCTATTTATTCGAATAAAGATTTGGCAACGTCGCGTCAACAGCTGAGAAAAAACAAAAGGATAGAAATAAAGTTACAGAGAGAGAAATATTTAACTGACACACTCATCCACGTCTCGGTAATGGGTATAATCAAACGCGCTGTTGCCAAATCTGTTTATTTAATCCGGCAAGTAATAAATACCAAAGTCATTTTATTACTTTATTTTATTAAATAAGTAAAAATCATCAATTATTAAATTGTTCAAATTATTTTAAATTAAAATAAAGAATTTTGACGAATATTGGGAAGACTATAATTAAAAAAAAAATTTTAACATTATTTTGACTCATTAGTTACGCTCGAACTTCTTTATTTTTACTACCTGGTCAAAATTTGATTTTAATACTTAAGTTTGACATATCCTAAATTATTTTTCTTATTAATAATAATAATTATAATTTTTCTAGCATCAAGAATAATAAATTATCGTAACACAAGTTACAATCCATGTGAAAATATCTACGCATTCGCATGTGGCAATTACTTAAAAGCAAATGTAACTCCGCCGATAATATTACAGCCATCTCTAGTCGCCAATGACATTACCGACTTGATTCAAAATGGCGGCAGTCATAGAGAGTTAAAGCCTTTCAAATTAATAGAGGATTTGTACAAAACATGCATGGACGACAGTAAGTAAACAACTGTTCTTCATCCGGTTAATCGAATTGAATAAAATATATAATTATTAATAATTTAAGATGCCGTGGGACAGGAAGTTTTGGCGCTACTGGACCGTATTCTCAAAAAATTGGGCAACTGGCCGGTGTTTGAAGACGGTCGTTGGAAAGAATCCGACTTTGACTGGATTGATTTCACAATAGGGTCCAAGAAACTGGGGCTGGATATCAACTATTTCCTGGACTTGAAACCTTGGCGAGTGATGGAGTTCAATAAGACTGTCGTTAGATACATGATAGACGTAAGACGAGATTTAAAAGATATTTAAAAAATCCAAAAGTGCACGACTCATAATGCTCATTTAAGTAGAACCACGTGAAGTAGTCAAATTTTTAAAACTTCCTGAAAATTTGTAAATTCAATCTACGGAGCCTAATAGTTAATAAAAAAATTAAAAAAACAGTAGGTTTCCGGGATATTTAATCAAATAATTAAGTTTGAAAATTGTAATTTTTACATGTAGGTAAATGGAGATTCCACCAGCTGTGTATTTGGTTAAGAATTTAATGCAATTAACGATTTAAAAAAAATTTTATTTTCATTGAATTTGATTGAAAAAATAATAAGCTTTCGATTAAAACAATAAAAAAGTAGCTTTCCGAACGTATCACGGAGATATTTTATATTTTTTATGAAAAATCACTCGGATACTTGCGTTCTTTAAAGTCTTGTATTTGACTTGGCAACACCGCTTGCGCAGTTATCCATGCGCATAAGTAACCGCGGTTTTTTAAATGCTAGAACATCTTAGTCATTTTAGTTAGACAGTAAACATAAATAAATTTTAAGGTTAGCGAACTCTTTTGGTGTTGTCAAGTGTATACCGGTAATTCAGAGTGCTATATTTTTTATTAGTCAATTAAATGTTAATAATTATTTAATGAGTAAATTTTTCGGAAATTACCTCAAAAATGTTATTAATTAATTTAAAAATTAATTTTAAGATAACAATAAAAGTATTTCTACGTATTATTTTTTTATAGACATTCTTTACACTAGGAGGGTACTTGAATCTCTTTAATTATCCTATTATTATTATTATTCTATATACTAAAATTGATGGTAGAATGAAGTTAGCTTAGTATCGAAAACATGGACCCTGGTTCCCTATTGGTTAAGATTAAGGCGCGCGCGTAGCGCGCTATTCAAATTTCTAGTAACATAAAAATTGTCTTCTACAGATTGCGCCAGCAGAGTTCAAAGACTCTTCAGATCCTTTGGTAGCAGCTTATGCGAAGTATATCCAAAGCGTGTTTGCCTTGCTGAAAAACAAGAAAAACTCATCGAGGGAAATCAGTGAGATAATTGAATTCGAGCGTCAAGTATCAAAGGTAAGCTAAAATATGGAGAAACAAGACTAGATCCGATGACACAATCACTTTTTCCAGATAAACCTCTACAACTCTAAGGATATCTACACAGAAAAGCTGACCCTTGAAGACCTAGTCAAAAAATGGCCGACGATAAACTGGAATGAGCTGATCAGCAATATAATCCTTCGAAACCTGAAAGCTCCCGTTAAAATCACCGAAATTTTTCTTTGGTCCAGTCAAGCGGTCTCTGACTTTGTCGACCTAGTGCTGAAAACTCCCAACCACGTGAAAGCGAACTACGCTGTGTGGAAGATAATCCAGAAGACGATTCCCCATCTGACTGAAAAGTATCGCGTGCTCCACCGGGAGTATTGCTTAGTTCAAAAATGCGAGAACACGACTCGCGCGCACTCTTGCGTAGGCGTCCTCAAACGACATCTTGCTCCCGCTGTGAACTTGCTGTACGCCAAGAGTCACCATAACAGTGACAGTGAAGCGCTTGTGACGGATATTATCAGGAATATGAAAGATGAACTCGTGAGGATGATCAACGAGTCCTGGATGTCGCAAGAAGCCAAGCAGAAGAATGTTGAGATTGTTAGGAACAAAGAGTTTGTCATTGGATTCAAGGGCAAGGATGATGACTGGGTGAAGTTTTATGAAAATTTGGAAATTGATACTTCTAATTACTTGCAAGCTTTGTTAGACTTGGAGCTCTTTGCTATTGAGAACAGGTTCAATGAGACGGATTTTGATGGTGAAGCCAAGAAATTGTTTGAAGAATTCCTAGTAAGCAGCTTGTACGGGAAGATATGTGAGTAGAAATTTGAATACTAAATTTTGCGTAATATTCCATGTGGTGATAAAATATCATCATATTTAAACTTCTACTATCTCATAATTATTTTTCCAGACATACCATGGTCAAGCTTAAGAAAGCCATTTTTCGACGTAAGCTACCCATTGTACGTGAATTACGCTTCCATTGGGTCCTACATCGCCTACGAACTTATCAAAAGCGTCGATAATTTAGAAGACTTCACTAAAGACGTTGAAAATGAAAAAGCCGCGTGTTTCCGCAACCAATGGTCTATTATTGACAATTTTAACCTCAACGATCATACTTCTGCACCGGTAACATCACTAGTTTATAATATTTTACGAACTATAATCAACAACTTGTAAAATAACCTCGAAATTAAATTCCAGAAAATTCGGATGGCTCTAAACGCGCAAATCGTCGCGCAGATGGGCATGAAGATAGCATACCTAACTTACCGACGAGTCGCCCAGAGCCCGAAAGAGGAGGTGCCATTTCAGCTGACTTACACGAACCACCAACTGTTCTGGATAAACTTGGCTCAGAATTTCTGTCAGGAAGACCCACAACACGAACCAAAAACAATCGACCACAAGTACACAAGCTTCGAGTATTTTTTTTCAAAAGCTGTAACGAGTGCTCCGGAAATTTACGACGACTTCAATTGTTCGGATAAATCGTTCGCTAAAAATTACGGAACTTCTTGCAGTTATTTGTGATGATTTCTGTTTACATTGGCGTAGGGAATAATTGATATTTATGCAGCGTAATTGTAATTATTTGAGTGATAATAAATTTTCACATTTATAAATATGTTATTCGTTTGTTAGCACTTGAAATTATAATTATAAGTCAGAAGTGTTTGCTTTTCATTCACAAGACTGCGTCCATCTGCTCAGTAATTTAGTGATCAATTGATTATGAAATTTAATATTTACTTGGTAATGTTTCGACATATTTTAACATCAATTGTATTGTCAGCTGGCCGTTTCGCAATAAGTTTAATTTTTATTAAGAAATATGTTGTTTTTTTTTTTTACCGTCCTAAAACCAACGAATGCTATAGTTGGAACAGACCCAGTTCTAATATTGAAGGCGGAGAAGGGGAACTAGGCCGCTCTAGACTGAGGAGTGGGGGGCGCTCGACTTTCACTCAAGCGTCAACTCTAGTCCCGTCAACATCTATAAAAACAGTGTTCTCGCTATCAATTCTATGTTTACTGCATATATTTCGTTATAATATTATATTTTTATTAAGAAAATTAATTTTAAAAATTATTGGTGAAAAGTATAACAATTTTGGATCAAATATAAAATAAAAAAAAATTATAGGATTGTAAGATAATATTTTTGGAGATAAAAATTTTTTGTTAAGCTTTAATATTTTGAAATAAAACAGGAAAAAATATATATTGGAAGAAATTAAACATTTATACACTCTGATGAATCATTATGAAAACAACTACTGATTTTACTTAGTTTTTACTGATAATAAATTCCTAAAGTGGGTACCACAGATTTTTTTTCTTTATCTGGTTAAAAAACCGCTGTTCTTGAAAATATTTGCTTTTAAATTTTCCAGACTTTATTCACCTGAATATTAAACAACCGAAATAGCCAGTCAAAATATTTTTCATTTTTCTGTTATCTAAAAAAAACAAATGAGGGATTCTCTAATAAAAAATCTGTATAAATACTCAGTGGCATTAATAGGAAGAATATTTAACTGGAAAATTCCTCTTTTTGGAAAATGCTGTTTGTCGTTATCGTGTTTGTGTTGGTCGCCGGATCTACCGCGGTAACTTTTCAACCGGGTCCGTGTCCGGTTATCAATGGAGTCCCCATTGACTTCAAAAAGGTTTGTATTGTTTTGTTTAATTGCGATTATATTTCAGCAACTATTTTAATTATTAAACCCTCGTTAGTTCACAAAATCAAAATATTTTGCATACTATTAGATGGCCGGCAACTGGTACGAGTATGCTAATACCGAGGACCAGTATAACGGTACTCTTGGATGTACGATCAGTGAGACATTCACGCTGAAGGATAACATAACTAGAATGTTTACAACCTCAATTTCAAAATCGTAATTATTTGAATGCTCCACACTATTTTTTAAGCTACTTCCAAAACTAATTAGAAATTTTCAAGCTTAAATAATATATATTTTTTTCTTGCTTCTATTTTTGAAACAAAGTACCGGCAACATTGTGGGAGTTGAGAGCGAAGTCACTGCGATACTACCAGGAAACGGGGTGAATCTTGTTACCTATACTCCACTTGCTGGTGAATTGACTGTTCAATACTGGGATCTTGAAGTTGTGCCTGATAGTCACGAGATATCTTGGTCTTGCGTAATAGAAGGATCAAAACATCAGTGAGTTGTTTATTGTAAAAGACATATCATTAATCTTAAGAATTTATAATTGCCTTATGTTGCCTATATTGTTTTGTTTAGTATACAAGGTATAGACATATATACTCGCAGTCCAAACCCGTCAATAGATGTCCTTGAAAGATCACGACAATTAGCCTTGGAGAGAGGTCTCGCAGCACCGGAGTTTGTTCTATTTGATAATAGTTGTTATCTAAAAAGTTGTAGATGCCAATAATTGGTGCAAAATTTATGGCATATTTCCATAAATTTTTAACAAGAATCAATAACAATAAATCTATAGATTGAATTTCTAACTTTAGTAATTTAATAAAATTTTAATACTAGAAATAATTCCACTAGAGTTATTTTTGAATTTATACTTCATTTGGCGCGCTTGGAAAAATGATAGTAAATTTTTAACAATGCGAAAACGTTAAAAACTACAAATGATTAATGTTGGAGTATTTTCCCGGAAGAAAACTTTTCAGAAACTCTTCAAAGCACCCAAGAACCTCTGCTCGAAAAAAGAAGAAAAAAGAAGAACTCTTTAAGAAGATCCAAGTACCCTCCTAGTATAACGTAGATGCATCTTAAAGGTAGTTTTTAAATTAATTAGTAACATTTTTGAGGAAATTTCCGATAAATTTACTCATTAACTAATTATTAACATTTAATTGACTAATAAAAAATATAGCGCTCTGAATTACCGGTATACACTTGACAACACCTCAAGAGTGTCCCTAACCTTAGAATTTATTTATGTTTACTGTCTAACTAAAATGACTAAGATGTTCTAGCATTTAAAAAACCGCGGTTACTTATGCGCATGGGTAACTGCGCAAGCGGTGTTGCCAAGTCAAATACAAGACTTTAAAGAACGCAAGTTCCTTTGTGATTTTTCATAAAAAATATAAAATATCTCCGTAATACGTTCGGAAAGCTACTTTTTTTATTGTTTTAATCTTTAGCTTATTATTTTTTCAATCAAATTCAATGAAAATAAAATTTTTTTTAAATTGTTAATCGCATTCAATTCTTAACCAATTATACGGCTGGTGGAATCTCCATTCACATGTAAGAATTACAATTTTCAAACCTAATTATTTGATTAAATATCCCGGAAACCTGCTGTTTTTTAATTTTTTATTAATTATTAAGCTACTTAGATTGAATTTACAAAAATTTGACTATTTCGCGTGGATCTCCTTAAAAGTGACTCGCCAATTTCTACGAATCCTTGAAACTAGAAGATACTGAAGAAAATAAGAAGAAAACGATGACTACAAAGCTAACAAACAAAAATTTATCAATAAGTTAATATTTATATAAAATTCAATATTTTATATTTAAAGACTTAATAAATTTGTAATATTTATGTCATCATTATTTATAATGTATTTTTTGTTTGTTTAACGTCATATCTTTAATATATTTATTATGATTCCAAATTAAAATATTTTATTATTGAATTTCAATAAAATGACTATTATTATTATTATTATTATTTTATTAAATATTTAATTAAATGATAGTGCATTGACATTTAATCTAATCTCAATTAAACAAATAATCATGAAAATTTCTAAATTAATTAATATTTATATCTTCTTATCTCTTCTGTGCAATTAAAAAATCTGTCATTTAATTTCAAACTGAAGAAACATATCAGTGATAATAATAAATAATTAATTAGCATTAAATTAAGATACTATTGATAAAATCAAATTTAATTAATTAATCAATAAATATTTTAATCAATCGAACGATGAATAAAGAAGAAATGTGTAAATATTTATTAACAATTAATATATTATTAGTAAAGAAGCAAAAGATAATTGCACAGTGGTCTACTTTCTAAGTGATAATGCATAAATTATCAATTGTATATTACTTTTAAGTTCTACTTACAGTCTCGGTGTTCTAAATTATTACATGGCCATCATTTCACTTGTCACAAGTCAAACACACGCGAAATTACTTTCGATTTTTTGCATTAAAATTTTCTTCATTATTTTTATTTTTAATTGCATAAATTGTTATTATTTCAGTTATTAAAATGGAAAGGAGTAATATGCACGTGGTGTTCATGGGTGACTTTCCGATGTTACGGGAAAAAATAGTGAAGAAGAAAAATAATTCAATTGTTTGGTTTTTTTTTGGAATTGTTGATTCTTTGCTAAGAGGCGTTGGTCAGGTAATTATTTAATTTTTTAGATTGTTACTCTAATAATAGAGAAATATTTTTGCACTTTTTATTGATCAAAAATTTAATAGAATAATTATTTCTTAAAGTTAAGTAAATTAAAAATTTTATTAGTAGGTCTCAATCCATAATTAAAATCATTTTGGTTTTTTTCTGTTAAAAGTGATTAATCAAAATTGACAAAATAGACACAAATAACATATAAAAATTTGATTGATTTAATTTGATACGTATTATTATTGAATAATTATAAAAGTATAATAAATGAAGTATAAATTAAATATAACTGAGCTGTCACTCGGCAATACTAACTGTTGTCAATTTCATAAGTTTGGTATTTAAACTACAATTGTTTGCCTTGTTTATTTATTGTTTAAATTTGTAAATATAACCTCAGTGCATAAATTATAGGAATTTATTTTTATCCAAAAAAAAAATGAACCTTGCAAGAATATCTGGAGGATTTATGAAGCAAACTTCAAATTTGCCGCTTAGAATTTATGCCGCCATTTTGTCGTTAGTTAACACGAAGGAGTTAATGTCTCCGATAAACAACAGAGATAGAAAGCGAATTATAATATTTAAAAATTAATTAAATTAAAACTTTGTGGTAAATCGTTTTTTATTTTATCCAATTTGCGTTTGAACCATCGTTCTGTCTATTTAAAAGTTTTTTTTTAGGTTAAGTTTGCCGATTTTTCATAAACCATCACTTTCCCGCGCTATTGAACAGAGACACCCTTAAAAGCTCATATATTTCTGCAAAACTTTAATTAATTATATCTCTTGAACAGTGAATTTAAAAAATCTGTTAGAATTTATGCCGCCATTTTGTCGTTAGTTAACACGAAGGAGTTAATGTCTCCGATAACCAACAAAGATATAGAAAACGAATTATGATATTTAAAAATTAATTAATTTAAAACCTAGTGGTAAAAGTTTTTTTTTCAGGTTAGTTACCAAACTATACCTTAATAATTTTTTAAGATAAAGTTCTTTGAATGTTAATGAAAATTTCTTTACTTGGAAAACAAAATTTGCCGTTTTCTTTGTAGTAATCTCTGCATTGACACTGACTATTAACACAAATTGCATTCTGATGAACATTTCGCGTGAACTATTGTACCGCAATCTTCGTCAACTTTGCATTGGCTGCTCAATTTTTTTTCATAAAAAATATATTATTATTATAAAAGTAATGTTAGATGCATGTCATAATTATAAAATTAGATAGAAACTACAAGACTTTAATTAATTATATCTCTTGAACAGTGACGTTAAAAAATCTGATTTTTTTCAATGAGTCCATATAAGTAATAATCTCATTTAATTTTATTTAAAGGTTATCTTCGCAAACAACCCAGTGAGTGGTTTATTAATATCACTAGCTTTAATAACAACAACTCCAGAGGTTATGTCAATCGGTCTTCTCACTGGATTCCTCGGATTAACAATTTCTATGGTAGTAAATTAAACTTCAATTTTATCAGAACGAACTAAAAAATATTCTTCATTAATTTTTTATTTCTTCCGACAGTTAATACAAGAACCATTACGAAATATTGAAAACGGGCTTACTGTTTACAACCCAGTGCTAGTTGGCGCCATAACTTACGCGCTGTTTCCATCAAACTACAACAATGGCCGCTGGGATTCATTTTCCATTCTTCTAACATTTATTGCCGTTATTGTAAGGTTAGCAATCACTTACTAATAATTATCTTTATTTAATATCAAATATTTTATCAATTTACATTTTCAGCGTTTATTTAACTCGTTCGTTAGCACGTGAGGATTTTCCATGCGTGACAATTCCTTTCAATGTTATCGAAGTCATTCTCTTCGTCATTTTGATCACCCAAGGCGCCATCTTGGTCAAGAAGGACCCCGCAGACACAATAGTTAAGTACACTATTGTCCTCTCAGCCGAAAACTAACCTGAAAATTTTATAAATTTTTAAAAATAATTTTACAGGTAGATAATTTACTAAACACCACCAAAGAAGAAATTTATACAAGAAATGAAACAAACTTAAACTGGGGACTGGTAAGTTACAATTTTTGTGAATAATTAATAATCTGATTTTTTACAAAATTTAATAACCGAAGGTATTCCGCGGGACAGTAGTATCAGCCTCGCAAGTGTATGGCGTCGATAATGTAGCGGCTTCGTCGATAATATACTTGGCTCTGTTGATTTACTCTCCAGTTAGCGCCATCTTTTCTGTTTTTGGTTCACTACTTGGTTCGTTGGTCGGTAAGTATGTGTGAAGAAATAAGAAAATATCTTCCGACAAGTATAAAATATCATCATCATCATCATCATCATCATCACCATATGTTTTATCATTTTCATCATCTTCTAATAATTAATATCATTATATTAGTCATCATCATCTCAATTATCATTATCATCTTTGCATCACCATTATCGTCATAATTGTTATAATTATAACCAATATTGTCATCATCATCATCATCATAACCATCTTTATTATAATCATTTTTATTATTATCATCATCATCACCATCACAATTATTTAATTATAATATTTTGTTGAAGATAATACCATGTATTGACAAAAAATGATAATAAAGAAGAAATATATCCCAGCTTTAGGTCTTGGTGAGCCTTACCAAGCAATTTACTCAGGTTTATGGGGTTACAATAGTTTTCTGACTAGTGCTGCCTTCGGTGGATTGTACGTAACCTTAAATCAGCAAACGGTGCCATTAACCTTAGCATCAGTAATTTTTACCGTGGCCGTACAATATATTCTTCAGAAACTGTTTACTCAGGTAAGAAGCTAACCTCAAAATTGAAGAAGAAATAATGTATTAAAAATACATTTAAAAATTTTTTCTTCCTTAGTTTGGTCTTCCAGTATTCACATTACCGTTCGTTATAACATTCGCCGTATTTTTGGGGGTTAGAAAACCTTCCGGAATGTTTATAAAACCAGAAAGCGTGACATTTCCTGAAGATCAACGGCGGAACTATTTAAACAGTGTAGTTTGCAGTTCGAGTCCCGCTCAAAGTATTTCAGATTAATTTTTCTTTTATATTGACAATTATTGATAGTAAGCTAATGAATAAAATTTTTAATATATTTAATAGTAAAATAGCAAATGTTTATTTATTTTCAAGAAAAATTATTGCATCAATAAAAATTTACGTGTATTGTTGAAACAATTATTTTAAAAGGTTTGTCAATTTTGAAACAGTTGAACTAACAGTTACTATAATTGGATTAAAAATGGATTTTAAAAATAAAATTATCAATTTTAATTACAAAAATGATAAAGTCATTAAATTTATATTTAAAAACCATTTTATGAGTAGTTTCAAAATACTCTAATTTTAGTTGCGACATTATTTGTAGGTACCAGTTGATATAGCATTGATGTGTATTAAAAAGCGCGTGAAAAATTTTGCCACGTATTGAAAAATTTTTGATAATATTTGTTCATTATAAATTTTTCTTTATAAATTATTTTATAATGGCAGGAAAAATTTATATTAACACTAACATTATCCATGGATTGCTTTTGTTATCAATTTTGAGGTTTTGTCAAATGGAAGGCAACCTAAACAATCAACAATGCGTTAATTATGATGAGAAGGTAAGTTTTAATTAATTATATTAACTTGTACTAATAAAATAAAATAAAATAATAATAATAATAATAATCGTGCCCTATGGTGGTTGCAAGTCGATAATTATAAAACATGTTAACTTTGAAAATGTGAGACTATCATTGATCTAAAATGGTCTGGATTGTTCTAGAAATTTCTAGAATGATCTGGGAAGTTCTAAAATCTACATTTAGATTCTGATTGAATAAGAGTGATTTAGAAAATTTTAGAATGATCTAGAATAACTCCGAATAAACTAGAAAGCTTTAAAATGTATGTCAACATTCTTATCAATCAAAAATATCCTGTATTGTTCTAGAAACTTTTAAAACATGTAATTATAAACAAATAAATGTTCTAAAAATAACCCAGTGAAGCGGATATTCACATCTAGTAATAATAATAAATTCTATTTTACCTTCAGTGTATCCTTCAAAGTCTACAGCCATGTTGTAACGAAAGTTTATCATGTAACTATAAATCGTCACAAAACAGCTATACTTGTGGACCAAAAAGTAAGTTTCTGTCTAAATTTATAATTATGACATGCACCTAACATTACTTTTATAATAATAATATATTTTTTATGGAGGAAAATTGAGCAGCCAATGCAAAGTTGACGAAGATTGCGGTACAATAGTTCACGCGAAATGTTCATCAGAATCAAAATGCGTGTGCAGAGAAAAAAACATTGAGTTTAATGAAACATCCTGTATGCCTTTGTTGGGCGGATTTTGTTGGAAGAATGAAACATGCGCGACTGATAATGCAATTTGTGTTAATAGTCAGTGTCAATGCAGAGATTACTACAAAGAAAACGGCAAATTTTGTTTTCCAAGTAAAGAAATTTTTATTAACATTCAAAGAACTTTATCTTAAAAAATTATTAAGGTATAGTTTGGTAACTAACCTGAAAAAAAAACTTTTACCACTAGGTTTTAAATTAATTAATTTTTAAATATCATAATTCGTTTTCTATATCTTTGTTGGTTATCGGAGACATTAACTCCTTCGTGTTAACTAACGACAAAATGGCGGCATAAATTCTAACAGATTTTTTAAATTCCCTGTTCAAGAGATATAATTAATTAAAGTTTTGCAGAAATATATGAGCTCTTAAGGGTGTCTCTGTTCAATAGCGCGGGAAAGTGATGGTTTATGAAAAATCGGCAAACTTAACCTAAAAAAAAACTTTTAAATAGACAGAACGATGGTTCAAACGCAAATTGGATAAAATAAAAAACGATTTACCACAAAGTTTTAATTTAATTAATTTTTAAATATTATAATTCGCTTTCTATCTCTGTTGTTTATCGGAGACATTAACTCCTTCGTGTTAACTAACGACAAAATGGCGGCATAAATTCTAAGCGGCAAATTTGAAGTTTGCTTCATAAATCCTCCAGATATTCTTGCAAGGTTCATTTTTTTTTTGGATAAAAATAAATTCCTATAATTTATGCACTGAGGTTATATATACAAATTTAAACAATAAATAAACAAGGCAAACAATTGTAGTTTAAATACCAAACTTATGAAATTGACAACAGTTAGTATTGCCGAGTGACAGCTCAGTTATATTTAATTTATACTTCATTTATTATACTCTTATAATTATTCAATAATAATACGTATCAAATTAAATCAATCAAATTTTTATATACGTTATTTGTGTCTATTTAGTCAATTTTGATTAATCACTTTTAACAGAAAAAAACCAAAATGATTTTAATTATAGATTGAGACTACTACTAAAATTTTTAATTTTAGTTGCAGTGAATCGTCCCTGTTTGAATAACATAGATTGCGTATCATTAAAATGGTCTGAATGTTCAAAACAAGGTGCTTGCACCTGTCAACCAAATACTTTCCCTGTGGAAGACGCTTGTGTGCCTCAATTGGACGTACACTGTAACCTGGATACCGATTGCAGAGTCAAGAACTCCAAGTGCATATACAATACGTGCCAATGCAAGGAAAATTTTATCTTTAGGTCCTCAGAATGCGTACCAAGTAAGTCCAACAACCTAAAATAGATTTATTTGGGTTTAATGTTTTGTTTTTTTTAAGAACATTTATTCGAATCCTGTGAAAACGACGCAGATTGCGATCTAATATCCCTCGCAACGTGCTCGATAGAAAAAAAATGTGAATGTAAGCAGAACTTTATTGCGATTGATCATGGAACATGTAAGCCGCTACTGGGAGAAGCTTGTGCTGATGATGAGGATTGCCAGGCTTTGAATTCCGAGTGCGATGATAATAAGTGTGTGTGTCGGGAAGACTACATGCAGGAATCAATCAACTCGTGTATACCAAGTAAGCAAAATTGCACGCCTCATAACGCCAAGCGGTTGAGGTAGTGCTTTACTCTCGACACGTCAAGGTCAAGCTATTTTGTGATCTTAAAATGCCTCTATCACAACCACATTGCACTTGTACAATAATACGAGTAGACGTACATCGAGAAAACACTTTAATTAATCTATCTTATAGTTTAATTTCTCTAAAAAATCAATTATACAATTTCTTTTCTTTCTTAAAAATTAAAAAGCGTTATGAGGCGTGCACTTTTGGATTTACCAAACATTTTTCCGCTAAATTAAAATTCATTGACTACTGACGTTTAATTTTATTTCTTTAAAGCACATCTAGGCCAGTTTTGCCGAGAAGATAATAATTGCAACCAAATAAAGAACGCGGAGTGCTATAATCGGGAGTGTGCTTGCAAATCAGGTTATGTTAATACTGATTCGATGACTTGTTTACTTTCGCTGGGGCGTCAATGCACCAAATTTTCAGATTGTGCTCCTAATAATGCTATCTGTTACGGTGGAATATGTGAATGTGATGAATACTTCATTAGTAAATCTGATGACAAATGTTTGCCAAGTAAGTTCAGAAACTGGAAGACAATCTTCTATTAAATTGATAATTTGATACTATCTTCTAGCGCTTCTGCAGAAAAAATGCCGGTATCTTGATGACTGTCGCAATATACAGTTTTCGTTTTGTGCACAAAATAATCTATGTGCTTGCTCGTTCAATTATGTGGCTGTTAATGGGACCGAGTGTAAGCCTCTTCTCAGAGGAGAGTGTAACAACACTAGTCAGTGCATGGTAGACAATTCGATTTGTCTTGATAATCGGTGTCGATGCAAGCCTGATTTCGTAAGATCGTCTCACACGCATTGTATACCAAGTAAGTACCCATATAGCAATCTTTTTCAAGGCTTGAGCAAGTCTGGTCTCAATTTCGATAGTTGATAGTGTCTTTTTCTACCTATGGGTCTTGCCCCAGATACTTGTAGCAAATTCAATTGACAAGTCTTGAACAAGCCTTGTACAAGAACTTTCGGCCAGATTATAGCTCAAGAATTGTGGAAGAAAATTGAGAAAATTTGAAGATGCTTATCGATAAACTAACTATATCAATTCTTGAGAAAGACTGACACCAGAAGCATGCTGAATTTACTTGTGCAAGACTTGCTCAAGATCAAATGTTTTCGAATGACCGTTCTTATCATTCTGCCCCTCCTATATTTACTATAGGATCAGTGGATCTCATTCAGCTTAACCTTTTAGAGTATAGACCTACTGTTTTATCGATCAAGACAAAATTATTTTAAAATGACCACCACTGAATCAATAGATCTTCAAGTAGTGGAGGGGAAAAAGTGCTATTAAATATATAATGCATGATGCATCTTGAGCAAATTTTGAGCAAGTCACGCTTCAACATTTGCTGTTAGTTTTTGGTTGACAAATGCTTTAGAAATGAACAAATTACTGAGAATTACGGATCTTGAGCAAATGTTGGGTAAGTGTCTGTTGTGAGTTTCTGATTCAAAAAATCCGTCAGAAAGTTTTTCAATGCACCTTGCATTAGACTTGTCTCATATTCTTCCACAAGATCTCTTGAGCTAGTTATATATAAATCTTGAACCAGTTCTTTCTACATGAACTTGAGCAAGATCCATATGTAGGAAAAGACACTAGCAATTAGGCGTTTTGCTCAAGACACTCGCACCTAAATCTTTCTCAAGCAAATGTTATCTTGGCATTTTCACAGATCGTTTTGGAGCAGCTTGCAAGAAAGATTTCGACTGCATCAACGTGAAAAATTCCAAGTGTATCAATGGAAAATGTGATTGCTTAAAAAATCACTTGTTTTTTAATTCGACACTTTGTGCAGCACTTTTAGGGGAAGTTTGCCAAGAAAATGGAGACTGTTTTGTCACAAATTCAATTTGTATTGATAAGAAATGTCAATGCAAGCCGAATTGTTTACAATCCTCGAATTCTAGATGTGACCTAAGTGAGTACAATACTATTTAATTTAATAAAGTTATTAAAAACAAGCTATTAGAAAAAAATTAGGAAAACGGTTGACCCTGAAGGCCATCCCTGCAACTTCCCGCCAATTCTATACCTAAACGCTTGAAATTGCACTTATGACGTTTTTGAGCTCTTCGAGCTCATAAATACAATTTGTGTATTATTTTGAGCTCAAAAGTTTGGCAGAAGTTTGATAAAACACTATTTTTTGAATTTTCAAATCGCAATAACTTTTGAATGAAAGAACTGATTTTCACGCGGTTGGCGGCAATCGACGCAGTTTCTAAAGTCCTATAAAGAATCTTCAAGTTTAAATCGGTCGAGCCAGGAATTTCATAGAAATTCTGAAAAAAACATTTTTTCCAATTTTTTTCGACAACGATATCTCACGAACAAATCAACCGATTTTGACCGGGCTGGTGGCAATCGACGTGGTTTTTTGAGGTTAAAAGCTGATTAGATTTTGGAATTGATCGGTTCAGCGGTTTAAAAGATATTTCAAAAAAACGAATTTTTGGAAATTTGATTTTTGAGATTTCTCAAAATTGATCTACTCAAATTCTGTAAATTATCATCAGAATTCTAGGGGCAAAGGAACTCTTCACAACGCCGCCTATTTCGATCGAATCGGATGATCTGTTCAAAAGTTATGGGGTGAAAATAATAACTTCTCGATTTTTGAAAATTTTCAATTTTCTTAGCGGGAAATTGAAAATTTTTATTCCCTCTCACAGTTGTGTTAGGACGATCATGTACAAAGCACGATCAATGCAATGTGACACGAAATTCAATATGCGTATCAAATGTATGTATCTGCCGTAGCAACCATTTTGCATACAATGAAATTTTCTGTATACCTGTTCTGGACCAAGTTTGCTCGAAAAACAGTCAATGTTCTGGTGATTTCTTCCATTGTTCGAATAACAAGTGTCAATGCAGACCTGGATTCACTGCCGTATCTGTTGATAAATGTGTAAGAAGTAAGTTATCGGTTTTAATATTATATAAGTACCAAGAAAATTTGCTAACCACACCCTATTTCAGCTATTAGTCTGTTCTCGTGCCGTGACGAGACGGAGTGCAGCGACATCTGGCACTCGACATGCTCAACAGAAAAGTGTGTATGCAAAAGTAACAATATTGCAGTCGGCAACTCAACATGTCTTCCTATTTTGCGCGGATATTGTTGGAGAGATGATCAATGCAAAGCTGACAACTCGGCTTGCATTAACTATTGGTGTGAATGTAAGCCTGGTTTTGTAGAAGTTGCAATGAATTCTTGCGCACCTATTATTTTGTAATATTAAAAAAATATCTAAAATATTAAATTAAATAATAAATAAATTCAAACCTAATAATTTGATTAAATATCCCGGAAATCTACTATTTTTTAATTTTTTCTCCTTAAAAAAATTTTTTCTAGATTATAAAAAAATCCCGGTGACCTGGAATAAATGAATAAAAATTATTATTAATAGATTATAATTATTTTTATTTTTCAAAATTATATATTGACAAAAGAAATTATTAATATTATTAATAAAAACCACACTAATAAAAAAAATTATATTAGCAATAAATAAAAAAAAAATAAAAAAAAAAAAAAAAAACAGAAGAAGAAATGAATCAATAAATTTATTTATGTGAAGAAAATTTAATCTGACAATTATGGTTTTATTATTTATCGAACAAACTAATATATATTTTGCATTTATATTATAAGCTAATTTTTAAATTTTTATTAATGAGAAATATTAATATTAATATTTCAGTGTTAGCTTTTACAAAATAAAAAATTAACCTTGAAAAATCTAAATGCATTTAACGAGAAACAAATTTATTTTATTTTAATTATTAATTGTTAATCATATGATCAATAATCTTGTTTATTTTCAATAATAATATCATTATTAATATTATTAGCAATAATTATTTATTATTAAGGTAGATCTTTATTTATTCATCAAGATTTTGCGATAGTAAAAAATTAGCAGCGAGGTTTTCGTTCTTCTCGCAAGCAAAGTAGGCTTGCAAGGCTAAGTGTTCGGGGAATCCCAGAGCCTTTAATCGTTCTACGGCTTCGCGATCTTGCGGAGAAATAGGTATGACGCCGGTAGTGGCGGCTACCGCTGGACTTATTGCATCAGCGCCACCTGCGTTACCTCCAGCACCGCGGATAGCTTGATTCGAGCCCAGTTGACCTGCGCCAGCAGCTCCAGCTAGTTATAAAGAATTTAAAACATAAATTTGACTCGAAACTTATTTTTTTTTTTTTATTATGATGACATATAACCAAGATTTTACTTTTTGGAATTTGAGTATCTAGGTCTATTTTTATTAATTATTTAAGTATTAATGGAAAACATTATTATGATTATGGCGGTGATTATTATTTAATTATTGTAATTATTTAGTTAATAATATTATATTATTTTTATCGAAGGTTGATTAAATTAGATAATTCGAAGAGTGTGAGAAATTATTTTAAAGCCGACCAAGTTTAGCAAGCAAAAGAAATTAATTGTAAAAGAAATTAAAAGACCGGGGAAATTATTCTAAGTCCCGAATAAGATTTAGTATGGGAAAGTGACAAATGGATAGAGAATGAAAGAAACGACAATTATTATTTGGTGAAACATAATTTAGGTAAGCGAAAATATTATAAGTCCCAAGCCGATCTAGTATGGGAACTCGACGAATGGATAGAAAATGAAAGAAATTACAATTAAAATAATAAAGAATTGTGAATTTGACGAAACGAATGGATGTATAATGAAAGAAATGACGATTATTATTTTAAAGAATTATGTTTGGGAAATAAAAACTTAGAAAGTTTTTGACAATTGATGAGCTTGCGCGAGCCTCGATAGATGGCGAAGATGTTTCGTTTGTAGTGATAATTCAAAAATATGTTAAGGAAATCCTTTCGCTCCAGTTGAGTTAAAACAATTGTAGTAGTCAATATACGATAAATTAAAATAAAAAACCCATAAAAATTCCTAAAATTAAATAATAAATAGTATATGAGACATTAATCGTTGAAACTTTGAAAAAAAAAAAAAAAAAAAATAGTTAAATACAAAAATTAATTTGACTCTTTCAAAACAGCTGCAAGTAATCTGTCCGTGATTTGGCAACGCTGTACTTCGATTGTTTACATTTTCATTTGCACAATATAACCTTAACCACGTTTAAGGAGGTCCTTTCGCCGCCAATGTAAAATAAAAAATATTAGATTATGAGTAAATTAAATTTTTTTCTAATAGTTGAAGTCCTTATTTATCTAATAGTGAGGTTTAAATTATACTTTAATACCGGACAAATTTTTGAAAAAATAAAATTTTTAAATATTAGTATTTGTTCAGAGTCTTACGAGAAAGTCAAACGTTTGCAGTATTTCTCGAATTATACTATCACCCATGGATTAGATGAAGTAAAAAAAAAAAAAACTAAAAATTAGATTTTCAAAATATTCAGGTTTCTTTTTTTGCAATAAAATAGATCAGTTACCGAGATATTTATTGAGAAAGTAATATTTAAAAATCACAAAAAATTCTCAAATAACCTACGTTAAAATGGAGTCAAAAAATTTGGCAACGTTGCGTAGCGCGCGAACTTCAGACCATTCAATAAATTCAAACTAATTTATTTGATGGATAATGAAAGAAATGACGATTATTATTTTAAAGAATTATGTTTGAGAAATAAAAACTTAGAAAGTTTTCGACAATTGATGAGCTTGCGCGAGCCTCGATAGATGGCGAAGATGTTTCGTTTGTAGTGATAATTCAAAAATATGTTAAGTTCCGTTTTGAGAATAATTTTGACAAGCAATTCTTTCTCTGGAGAATTACTCGGGCGAATACTCTTCACCAAGTAATTCTAGAGGATGATACTCTACCTAGAGTCTTACCAAGACCCAGGAAAGTATCAGGGTCCGACCGGATGAAAGTGCGACTCCCCGTGCCAAGGCCTTCAGCTGAGGTACGGTAGGTGATCATAAGTCGTGTAGGTGGGAGCAAGGAGGATACTCTCCACTTGCTCTCAGGGTAGAGTTTAGGACCCCACAGGAATGACGGCTAGTCGCCCTGGGGAGGGGGGGGTGTTATTGGGGACTAGTTAGTGTTTTGTAGACCGCGTTTTTGAGTTTGATCCGCGAATACTGTCGTGTATGTTTGATTTTGTATTAGTTTATATTGCTTACATTGTTTATTGATTTTGAACCGCGTTAATGATTTTGAACCGTGAATATGTGTGAAAAGAGTGTTCTAATGTATTTTTTTTTACATTGTTTATATTGGTTAATTTGCTTATATTGTTTATATTGTTTATTAATATGATCAGGTCAATAAAGAGGTGTTCTTCTCCTTTGATTTATTTAAAATAAAGTGTTTGGCTTTTATATTTTGTAATCCCCGTTTATGACCCTGGACTTCGGCGAGCTTCAGATTCGAGCAACGGGGGCGTTTGTGTCGCAGTATCGTACATTTGTTTAGTTATTTAAAAACACTCAAAAATTACCCGTTACAAATTTTTGCTTAAGACATCTTATATTCAAGTGCATCCTTTAATTATCATTTAAAAATATCAAGAACAAAATAAAAAAAAAAATATTTAAGTAATTTATTAATTTAGGTCATTTTTAAACTAAGTTATTTTTTTTAATTTGAATTTTGGCGGGACAGTGACGTAGTACTATATCCGGTGCACAGCGCCATCTTACAGAGAGTTTAGGAATTAAATTTATTTTTATGTTGCAATTTAATTTAAATAAACGGATTTTTTTGTAATATAGATGAAATTTTAAATAAAATTGAATTACTAGACTCTTTAAATTCAAGTTTTTATAATTTCCCGGTAAATATTTTAATTTTTTTCTCATTAAAAAAAAATGTTTTTAATTTAACAGTCCAGCTTATTGATAATAATTAACCTAATTAAATAATTTACATTGAATGTAATTTATTTTATAATTAATCAATAATTAAACTTACCAGGTTCGTTGAGCATGCGGATGAACGCATCCTGATTCTGTGAGATAAGTTGCAAGAGCGCAGGATTGGACTGTCCGATTTGCTGCAAGACAGCATTGAGGAGCTGCGGATTCTGCTGGATAACGTTCCGCATCTGTTGGAACTGAGGCTGGTTGCGCAGGAACGCGAGTGGGTCACCACCTCCGCCACCGCCTTGTTCCATGATCGCGTCAGCGGCCTCTGGCGCGTTGTCCTCTGGTAAATCGTCGAAGAGACCGTCGATTCCCTGAGTGGGAATCCCAGTGATAAGATACTCGACAGCGCGGTCAGGATTGTTGAAGCTTGCGCGTAGAGCTTGCTCAACTCTTTCGCGGTCGTAACCCATGTCCATAATGTTGGTCACCATGGTGTCGTAAGCGTCTCCGGTCAGCAATGCGCTCTCGGGCTGATTTCTAGCAGCTGCTTCTGTTATTGCTGCCACAGCCGCTGCTGTTGATGATTGGTCAGTTGATTGGGCGCCTGCTGACGGCCGGGTTACTGGTGAGGGCTCTGATGACGCCGCTGGTGTCTCTCTAGAATAAATAATTGTCAAGCGTATTATTTTTAGATCAATGGAGAATTTTTTTAAAGATAAAAATTTTAATCTAAGAGAATAATTATTAATTATCTAGCAACCTTGCAGTCACTATGTGACTGCAGTGAATTGTGAACTGTAACTAAATAAAATTTTGCTCTATTAAATAATCACTTTTGTTAAATTACACTGTACTTTCTTAACTATTGAAGTTTTTAAAGATATAAGCTCATCCCGAAGTTACACTCACCAAGAGCTTTCATTTGAGTACCCACATGCATTTTTAATATATTTTTCATATATACATATATGTCATATATATAAATATATAAAATATATGAAAAATTGATGTGGGTACTCAAATGAAAGGTCTCGATAAGTGTAATGTCGGGGTGAGTTTATATCTTTAAAAATGTCATTAGTTGACAAGATACAGGGTCATTTCTTAAATATTGACATTTTCCAAGATATAAGCTCATCCCGATGTTACACTCATCAAGAGCTTCTATTTGAGTACCCACATGCATTTTTGATATATTTTTCATATATACATATATATATAATATATAAATATACAAAATATATGAAAA